CGTGTGATACTCCCCCATTAACTGTGAGCAGGACCTGTAAATATGATATCACTCCCACGAGTAGATTCCATTATGTGGCAAAGGTGAAGGGATTTTGCACAGGTAATCAAGGCCCCTAATCACCTGACTTTGAATTAATCACAAGGGTGATTATCGCGGGTGGGCCTGACCTAATCAGGTGAGTCCTTTAAAAGAGGGTCTAGGATCAGAAACTGAAGGAGGCAGGGAGATTCGAAGCAGTACAGAAGTCCTCCTGCTGACTTTACAGAAGCAAACGACCATGTTGTGGGGAAGGCCATATAGCAGGGAATGGCAGGACACCTCTAGATGCCGAAGGCCTCAATCCTATAACTGTAAAGAACGAATTCCACCAAACAACCGATGAGCTTGGAGGAGAAGCCCAACGTTCAGATGAATCCACAGCCCCGGCTGACAGCTTGAGGTCAGCCTGGGAAGACCCTGAACAGAGGACCTAGTTAAGCCGTGCCCAGACTTCTGACCCACAGAAACCATGCGATAACAAGGCGAGTGCTGTTTTAAGCCTCTAAGTTTACGGTAACATGTTACACCCCAATAGAATATTAATACAGGGCATATGGACCCATGTTGCAGAAATACCTGTTGCTAACAGAACTCATGGGACGCTGTTTTCAGCTGTCGGTGAAAATTCCAACCAAGCCACACACAACTGTTAGAATAGATATTTGTTTAGTTGGGTGCTGAGAGCTTTTACTTCAAGGTCCCGTGTTTAAGCCCTCTGTAAGCCTCCAGGATTCACACGCTGCATCGGGGTATGGCTGGTGTGATGGGAGACGTCAGGGCTGTCAGCCAATGGAGCTCTGCTGTGAGCTTCTGGGAGCCCCCTACCCCAAGCCTGGAGAATGGAGTTAAATTCTGGTTGGATTTCCGGTGGGGGAGCCTGAGACCGCAGCACTGACCTACTGCAAAAGAGCAGACAATCTGTATAAAGAGAGTTCCAGGAGACCTCGCTGGGTATTTTCCTGTTACAAGCATGGAAAGCCCACATAGAGTTTGCCGACACACTACTGTGACCCGATTTAATATCCCCAGTCATAATATTGGAAACCTATAGCATCTCGTTTCAGAGCTAACGGTTTTCAAATGATGAGACACGATTTCCATGGCCTTTTAAACAATAACACAAGGAAGATAAATCTCCACCGTAAGCCCCTCCTTTATTTTGGACACTCAGGGAATCAGCCTTCCCCTGGCCTGTGTCACCGATGCTCTTTGGGATGCAGAGTGCCCTTTGACATCAACTTCCCACGCCACAGGTAAAATGCATTTCACCTACACGGGATTTCTGTGACTAGACTTGTTTCCTTTTTGTCTCCTCAAAATCGGTTGTGACTTTCCTTTCCTCTCACCTCAGAATAACTCCCTCCCCCACTTCTGCGTTTACTGGTCACTGTCGGCTTCCTCCTCTCCACGTCACTTTTTTTTTTTTTTTTTTTTTTAGCCTTCCAACCCTGATCTCTCTGCCGTTCTCTACACAAACCACAAAACGCTATCACTTGCCAGTGTTTCTTTTTTTTAAAATTCATTCATTCATTCATTATTTATTTAGAAAGGGAAAGCAGGCATGCACAGGGGAGAGGGAGGGAGAGCATCCCAAGCAGACTCCGCACTGTCAGCACAGAGCCCGACATGGGGCTCGATCTCACAAACTGTGAGATCACGACCTGAGCTCAAAATCAAGAGTCAGGCACTTAACCGACCAGGCCACCCAGGTGTCCCACTTCGCAGCGTTTCTCACTTTCTTAGCAACCTCTATCCTGAAAACCCCATGGATGTTTATTTACCTCTTTCTCCATATATAAGAGATGGGCGGGGCGGGAAGGGGGGAAGGAGAGTAGCCACATGGGTCATTCAAGGCATGATGTGTTACCAATATTCCCAGAGAATATTTCCATAGTTTATTTTAATTTCTCATTCGCCTTTTTTTTTTAAGTTTATTTATTCATTTTGAGAGGGAGGAAGAGAGAGAGAGAGGCAAAGAGAGAAGGGGAGAGAGAATCCCCAGCAGGCTTTGCACTGTCAGCAGGGCTCGATCTCACACATGGTGAGATCATGACCTGCGTTAGACGCTTAACCAACTGAGCCACCCAGGTGCCCGAATTATTGACGAATAATTGCTATTTGTGACTGCTCTGACCTCACGACCCCTGAAGTATTAGCACAGATCCCTTTGCAAGAAACTGACTTACCAGAAGGCCCTTAATGCAAGCAAGTCCTGGCCCATGGAACTTTACCCACTGAGGGAGGTCAGGAACATGGGAAACACTAGACACCATGGGAGCTGAGTGGACCACACATCCCACTTTGCCCCATCAGAGCCAACATTCCTTCTCCCTCGTCCTCAGAAATCTGCTGCCAAAGCCTTGCAATCCTTGCTGACTGAAAACTAGTGAACGCAGGGCCTGGCGGGGCTCCCGCTTCCATAGGCCTTCCAGATTCATGGGCTGCTCTCTCTCACAATTTTGAATTTTATTGTTTATTTTAGGATAATCTTGGCAAACCGCAGCGGTTGAACTATGTATCTTGCAGTTGGGCAGAAAACCAGCAAGTATCGCTCTAATTTTTTTTTTTTTTTATTTTTCATAGGCCTTCTGGAACTTGGATCTGGTACTGTGGCTCGAAAGGTGGAAAGTGCACGCACACACACGTGTGTGTGTTGGGGGTAAGGGAACATGCTCCAGTGAATGCACGTGGGCAAAGGGCCAAAGCCACATCCTATGGAACTCTGCAAAGGTTCCTGCCATTATGGAGGATCCCCCCCATGAACACAATGATTCCCAAGGTTATCCCTGCTGACGTGGGGGGAAGTTCTATGTTTCTTGTCCCGTTGTGTTTTCGAACGCCCCCTGAGTGCTACGCTTTCCTTGGCTGATCGTGTCACGATGGCCATGCTCACATGTTGTACTATATAACCAAGCCTCCATCATCCCTGCCATTACTACAGGAACCAGCTCCGGCAAAGCCATTACGATCTCTAATTCTCCTTCCATCCATCCTGGAGCCTAGCCTCCGGCTCTGTCTCCTCAGGACTGAGCTCTGCCCAAAGGTGACCATTCCTGGAGAATTGTATAGCTGAATCATTTCCTTTGTGACCATTTCCAGGCAAGCATGCGAGTAGAGGTCTACACCATTTGGGAACATGTAGAAATGAAGAGCTCATTTACCTGAAACGTGATTGGGACTTCTATCTGTCCCACCTCCTTCTCCCCATGAAGAACAGAGAGGCAGAAGTAAGAGTTTTAAACTACAAATAAAAAGAAGGGATGTCAAAGAGTTAAAATATTAAAAAGAAACCCTGGCAACCCTTGAGTTCCTTTCGGAACTCAATAAATAAACGGTTTCTGTGTCACAGCCTCTTGGTTCCTACCTTCCTGATGGTGAGGCCTGTTTTGGTTCTCAGCCCTTACGAAGACCACGCAGCCCACATTTCCCGAGGAGCCTCACGTTTTTATCGTGTTTTGCTCTCTCTCTGCGATCAGACTTCACTTTGGAACGTATGGTTGCTGTGGCTACAGCCGACTTTAATATGGAGGCGATTTTAATAATAGTTGTATTTTTATGAAATGCACACAGCACGAGAAACACACACACCTGCACCTAATTCATAAACAGTCACTTCCTTGGGAAAAGCTCCACCATCTGCTCATTGAGGTAAAGGGTCATTAGGAGCTTAGACTGAGCCAGCTGTAAAATTTCTTTCCAGAAGATTGCCAAGTGGTCGGAATAAACACAAGTTAGACAATGCAAAACTCTTAACGTATATTGGTCTCGGAACTCAAGCACTTAAAGAGCTAATGCATAGGGAGCTACACAACACACCAAGGGCCACGAAATCCACGGTAGCAACAACAGGAACAATAAACCGTGCCATACGATTATTAAAATCTATTCTATTGTGCCCAGAGAAGTACCTGGTTAAAGCTGTTAAATACAGTATATGACAGGTGGGATCTGTTTTCAGTGCAATATATCACACTTATATCACATTATATCACATTTGGCAAGTGATGGATATAAAAAAATATATTTTTGGCCTTCAAAAAAGTGGAATAAACCAACATGTAAGGCTTTTCCCGATAAACTTTAGAAGATGCAATTAGCCGTTGGGTCTGCTGGGATCTAATAAAGAGCCTCAATCACGCTTTCTCTGCCTACTCGGTCCACTGAGCTCAAACCTTAGCACAATCTAATAGCATCTGTGTGTGTGTTTAGCATCAGGAGAATTATATCTCCTTCCATGCATTTCTTATAAATATTATTATCCACTTGAAAGCATCTTCATGTTACAATTTCCTCCCTGTCTTTTCCCACTGTCTTTTTTTTTTTTCTCTCTCTCTCTCTGTCCCTCTCTCGTAGCTAAGAAAATACCAGGAAGATACCAGACTTTCCCCCTGGCTTATTTCAGTTTCCGTTTTGAGCCATTTTTGCATTCTCCATGTGGCAGTGTCTGAATAATTACATTAACATGGAAGTAATGTAGTTTTTAATGTTTTTCTCTTTCTTTTTTCCTGTTTCCTTCCTTCCTTCCTTCCTTCCTTCCTTCCTTCCTTCCTTCCTTCCTTCCTTCCCTTCTTAGAATTCACTGAAGTAGTTCCTAGGTATTAGCCTTGTACCTAGGAAAGCTTATTTTTGTGACCAACGTGTGAAAAGGAACAATGCCTCTTTGAAATTCTATTTTACAATACAGACAGGGAAATTGGGCCTCGGGGGACTTGAGTTTCACTTAAATACTATACACATTTAGTATCACACAAGAGGTGGGGGTGGGGCAGCAAATAAACTTAACAATGACTTTGAGTCCGTCCTTATGAAAGAAAGCTTCTTCCCCTAATGAAACAGTCTCTTCAGCATCCGCTCCAGGAAGCCTGTGGAGAAAACAGTTCACCCGTGGCTTTGGAAGGACTTTTTTCAGAGCGCATCCACTGTCCTTTAAGAAGTCGTATGGGTGGATTTTCCTGTTGTTAGTTGAGCAACGAGTAAGCACTGGATGTATTTTCCAGGGATGAGCTGGTTGTTTCTGGGGTGGAGACATTGTACGTGCCTGAAAAACAGAGCAGCAGCTCGGCCTTAAGGACAAGGCTTCCTGATCACTGCGGTGTGAGCCTCTCCTAATGGCCCAGGGGGAGCTCTAGCCCGAGAGCCAGGGAAGCTCGGCCATGCCTGGAAACACACACATGCCTGCCCTCCTCCCAGGACCCAGAAGTGCCAGAGAACAAAGCTGTTGTTCTCAAGCGTGCGCGGCAGCCCACGAGACAAGCGCTAACTGCTTCACATCAAACCAGCAGCCAGATTTCTACAAAGGCCAGGGAGATACGAACTCTGGGCAGCCCTCCACATGCCACCACATGCACGGGCCTGGGGACATCTGTGTGAGGGAACCTCCCTGGCCCCCTGGGGTTGGAGTGACGTGGGAAGGTCTTGGTGGGGGGAGCCAGAGGCTGAGCTGAAAGGTGAGGGCGGCGGTTGGGGGGGGGGGAAGGGGAACAAGAAACGAAAGGAGAAAATTACAAGGGAAGGAAAGACAGGACTGGGAAAGAAGCAGAAGTCAGGGGATGCTAATGAAAGTGCAGCTGAGGGGGCAGCCACGGAGCAACCACGGGGGCTGGTGTCAGCGGGAGGCGGGGACTGAGCACAGGACGAGTGAGGGTGGTGTTGGGCAAGGAGGGGACACAGTGCCCACCCTACCATCAGACTGGTGAGCTGCCACTGCTAACAAGGTTTCCATCACTGCCTGGGGGGCCCTGCGGGGCTGCCGACAACATAAACCAAAGTTACAGTGATTACGGGACCCTCAGGTAGGCCGGTAGGGCGCTGCGTTAATGACCTTCGAGGGGTCATTGAATGGCAGTGACTGGAAATCTCAGGCCCTGGGACCTCAGGAGCAGAGCCCCAACTCCACCTTTGAGCGGACTGGTTCAAAATCAAAGAGCACATTTTATCGGCCTTGCATATCGTGTCATTCTGATTCAGTAGAATCATTTCGCAGAGTTTTAACCCGAGCGGGAATGGTCAACACGTTCCAGCGACAGTGCCGGCCAAGTGCAGTGGTTGTACTACACCCTGAAGATTTGATAATTTCACACCAGCTGCCATCGGTGACTTGCCAAATCGCAAGTGAAGGTCCTCCGGTTTCATGAGTAACGCATCAGGTCGAAGCAAAAAAACACCAAGTCCTCCGGAGTTTTAACAAATGGTAGGCATTCTCAATTGATTTTATAGGAAGAGCCTTAGTCTGGAATAATGACGCTTTTCTAGATTCGGCATTTGTGAGATCTGTTCAGTTTCAAGAAGCTGGAGGGAGTTTTGGTGCTTATTTTCCTGGGGGTAGGGGCATAGCGGGCAGAGGTTTCAACTTGCCCGACTAGCTGAGACCCATTGCTTAAAGTCGTTCACATTATTGATTGTATACCTCCAAGGTAGCAATTTAACTGTGCATGTTCCTAACAGAACAGCTAACTTGGGTGATTCCTCCTCTATGCATGCACGGTTTTATACATGCCCATATGTAAAACAAACACACTCCCCCCACCCCCCCAAAAAAAGAAAAAAAAGGGAAAAGAAATCCACAGCATGTGATCCTGTAGCAGTTTTCTAAATATATTTTTTTGCCGTACCTTAACCCATAAACATGACCTGCCTATTCTTATTTAACGCGAATAGCAATGAACTCCGCATTTGACAAGGCTTGCAATTTACAATTCCCACTTTTGTGGTGGATACAGTTTTGACAGCTCTCCACAGGCTTGTCTAGATTCTCCAAATCTTATCCTTTTCAAGTTATTATCAGTTGCCCGCTGAAGGCAGTTGCTCTCTCTACAACCTGCTGGCGGTTTGGGAAATAGAAGCGAGTTCCTGTATTTAACCTCTGGCCCAAATGAGGCTGTTCATGGTAAACGCCACGAAGTGGGAAAGTAGGGGTGTGAGAGTCTGCATCAGGGCAAATTTGCTCAAGTCAACCCAAACTAAGTACCCCAGGGAGTGAGCTAGAGGTCACTACGTACCTGTTTTACCAAACAAATTGTTAAATCTTCTTGATATCGGAGAACTCATAGAAAATACTGGTGTAGATGAACCGAGGGATGTTGACTGAAAAAGAAAAAAAGACAATTAGCAAGCAAATGTTAAACCAAAGCCCTGTTTTGGTTCCTCTTTTTTTTATTTATTTATTTTTTTTAACGTTTATTTATTCCTGAGAGAGAAAGAGGCAGAACATGAGTTGGGGAGAGTGAGGGAGGCACAGAGTCGGAAGCAGGCTCCAGGCTCCGCGCTGTCAGCACGGAGCCGGACGCGGGGCTCGAACTCACAAACTGTGAGACCATGACTTGAGCCAAAGCCTGACGCTCAACTGACTGGGCCACCCAGGTGCTCCACCAAAGCCCTCTTTTGATCTCTCTGATGGTTTGTTTGCTGCCCTCTAGTGGTCACTGCCTGCATCTCTCATTCCGCTTGAAAGTGAGCCTGAAAGAGCATGAATTTCAAGTTCAAACAAATCAAGTAGGAGGGCCACCTTGAAACATCGGACTCTCACCAGAATTAGGAAAATAACTTTCAAATATGTGTTTTACTGTTCTATAGGGTTTAGTGTTTTCTGATGTGTGAAAACAGTCAACGCTGTTTGAGCGCAATCGTTCTTTTCCAAACAGAACTACCAACAATCTCTGCATTATTCCTCACATTCTGTTCTCTGTTGTCTTCAATGTCCCCAGAAAACTTCTTGTTTCTCACTGAACTTGGATTTTTGACCTCCAGCTGGTATTGTCTGTGCTACCTGATCCCTACTTAAAGATGTGGGACAGCATCTTAGTGAAAGCTCCGTGGCTGACTTTAATAGGCAGAATCAGGTGAGACGCACAAGCAGTGGAATGATCTATGGTGAATCAGGCTGGGGAGAGGGAAGGGTTTGCCAAAGTCCCTGCAAAGGAAGGACTTGCCTTTGAGTGCTGTGAAGACCATCTTGACAGTGAAAACTTCTTCAGCAAGGCTTCCTGCACCTGCAGTTGTTTAAAGGAAGCCCTTGTAAGTTCAACATGCCACGAACACTGGGCTTTTCTGGGAGCACGAAACTGTGATTGTTCTTACCTTCTGATCCCAGAGGCACCCAAAGAGTAAAATGAATAGCCCCTGAAAAAAGAATTGGCAGGAAGTACATTTTAATCTTATGATTTTATGGTTTAAAATTATGATTATAATTCAATACGATTTTAATCATGTTCTATTGTCCGGCAACATAGGAAGTATTGTTACCCCGGCAATGAATTCGTACTACGTCTTCCCACTTCTGTGTTTGTGGAATGGGTCTGGTAGATAATAATGTTCAAAGGGATTCAGTAGGTCCACACCAAGAGACCTTAAATGTTACAATGTTATAAGGATATCATTCTATTTCCTTATCCCCGCCCCTTTGTGAACTGGAGGTCCTATTGGCTATGCTGTTAAGTACATCTCTTACGTCTCCGTAGGGTTCACATAATTGTGATGAGGACCTGGGGCCTGGGGTGACATTACCAGTCCCTTGTAGTCAAGCCGTACTATAAACTTCATTAGATATGAGCCATATAGTTTGAGGCCACGGGCCTAGCAGAAGTTAGGATCTGGCATGAGCATCGGGGCAATGTCTCAACTTCACCTCCAGACCCACTGCCCCCTCACCAGCTCGTGAGGACCTATGCTTACCACCCACCTACTGGTTGAATCAGAATTAAGCATTCCCTTCCCTGTGCTCCAAACGCTTGTTGTCTGCACCTCTGCTAAAGTTCTTCTAACAATTGGACTTATTTTATAGTTATTTATGTGCTATGTGCTATGTGCTACGGGAGAGCAAAGAGTGTGTCTTTTTTTTTTTTTTTAAAGTTTATTTATTTATTTTGGGAGAGACAGAGACAGCACGAGTGGGGGGAGGGGCAGAGAGAGAGGGAGACAGAGAATCCCAAGCGGGCTCTGCTCTCAATGTGGGGCTCAAACTTACGAAACTGTGAGATCGTGACCCGAGCTGAAACCAAGAGTCGGACGTCTAACCGACTGAGCCACCCAGGCACCCCAAGAGTGTGTCTTTTTCATTTTAGTATAATACAGCAGAATGTCCACCTTACATAGGACATTCATTCTTCCTTCTTCAGCAAATGTTTCTAGGGCACTTACTATGTGGCACATAGTACTCATTTAGCAGATGGTTATCGAGCACCTACTCTGGGGTCAAGTTCTTTTTTAGGTACTACTAGGGATACAGCGATAAGTGAGATAGATGTTATCCCTGACCCCACAAAGATAGAGTTCATTTAATGCTTGTAGAAATTTAACTGCAGACATTACTTGGTTTTAAAGTGGTATTTTCAATCAGGAGATAATAGGTGGCATCCTGATAACGTTGGATAAATAGCAAAATCCTGTGTAGGGAAGGGACTTTCCTCTTACGTGTATTATCAGGGCTTTTCAAAGAGAGTCATGCATGCAGCTAAGTTATAATACCAGTGATAAGAGGTATGAGGTTCCATGGGAGCTGAGGAATGTGTCCATTCTATATCACCGAGTGCTTGTAATTACTTCTCTTTAGGGCTCTGAACTAAAATCCTTCCCCATTCCTACCCTTGTTTGTGTTGCTATCATTAATTTGTCCCACCAGTACAGATACTTCCTGAGAGCCCTGTAGAGTGGAACTTACCTGAAAGGCATTGAGGAGAGTGAATATGATATGGAACACAGCATTGCTTCCTTGGAACACAGTGGCAAGACCAAATCCCCAGGTGAGCCCCAAGAGCGGCGTGAGGACCCCAATGCTCTTGCTGATCTGAAACAGACTACTCTTCTCCTGCTTGCTTGGCTTGTCCCCGATGGAAGGTCTCAGGATCTTGGAGATGACCACAATCATGATGGTCATGTTCACCACCACGATGATCAGTGCTGGGATGACGAAGGCCAGCAGGGCCTTGGTATCCTCCCAGTTGAGCCAGCAGGCATTCTTCCTCGTGTAGACTTCTTGGGGCTGGGTGGCCCCCACTGTGATGACCGAGATGACCAGAGGGCAGCCATAGCCAAGAGAAAAGGCAATAGTCTTCTGAATGGACTTGCTTGCGTCATGCAGGATGAAAACCAGGCGGTAAAAGAGCATGAGGCCCAGAGTCAGCATCCAGAAAAAGACACTGAGGTAGAAGAAATGGATAAAGAAGGTGGCGGCCACACAGGCTGTCTTGTTGAGTGGGTGATAATGGTTATGAATGGCAGCGGCTACAATGAACCAGCTGTCAGCCACCAGAAGGGAGGCGGCGATGTTCGCTATGCAGATGTGGCGCATATAGGAAGTCCGGTTCTTGGTCACTGATTTCCACACCACGGCTTCCACGACCAGACAGGCTGCCAAGCTCAAGATGGAAAAGCACAACCCAATGTAGGAAATGATGTCCAGTAGTATTTCCAGGAGAGAACCAGGGTACGGAGAGTCAGGGGACATGAGGATGGAGAACGACGTTAGGTGGTCACAGACGCAGGAGACGCTGTCCTCATCGACTTTGTTCACGTAACACCCACTGCTGTCCCACCCCCCTGTGTGGTTGGCGAGGTCGAAATTCCAGAAGACACATCGCGGTACCGCACCTGAAGGGTTGATGTTCTTAAAAGTCATTGAGATACTGAATGGCAAGGTTATATTGTGGCTGACGGTGGTTGTCATCACTAAGCTGTTGGCAAAATTCTTTCCTGGAACATCTTGGGCGAGGATGGTTTTGAGAGTTGGAAAAGCCACAGTGACAATAGATGAATCTCGCTGCAGGTTTCCCAGCTGGCAGTTTTCAATGGCCACATTACCCCACAGGTCTGAGTCTGAGAAAACAAAGCTCTGTTTGTAGGCTTTTGGATGGCCAGGTTTTATCACCATGCTCCTCATCTGCACATTAGTTTGGTTGATGGACAAAACAGTGCTATCTTCTGGCCGTAATGCTCGGGAAAATCTTTCCACTGAATCCAGTAGCTGTGAGCTCTGGTTGGTCTGTTGCTGTTGTACCACCTTCCATGTACTCAAGACGGGCTTGCTGAGAATGGTGTTAACCGTAGACAGAACGTGCTGTAATTGACATGGCATGGGGTCAGACCAATCAAATTCTTTCAATCATAAAAGGGAGAAAAAAGAACATCTCCCTGGAAACTGGTTGCATGGGTACAGGTAAGAGGAAAAGAGAAGAGAAAAATGAGGCCTCGCAGGCTGTAGGGACCTGTGTCCCACCTTCTTACGGCAGGGAGTTAGCAGAGGATGTGTCCCCAAAGCTATGCGACTTTGTTCAATATTTACCAAGAGTCAGCCCCAACACACACCCACTGAGACCAATTTAGCAGGCTGGGAGAGATTTATTAGTGGTTTTATTTTCCTTTAAATCCCAAGCCTGTAAAGGGTGATAGTTTACCAGCAAGGGCAAAGTAGTTTCAAAAAACCCTGTCCAATGCTGAGCACCAAATTATTGGCAAAGGAATCATTCTTTTTTTTTTTTTTCCTGAACATTTTGATTTTCTCTCCTATGAACTCGGGCTTGTCATTTTCCATTTGTGCTTTCTCTCAATATAATTTCTTTGCCCTTCTTTGCCTCGTTCTGTTCAATCTGAAACTATGAGCCTTGTAGTTCGTCGAATGGTGGCCGCCCGAATAATCTGTCCCAATACCCAGACCCTGTGAATGTGACTTTCTTTGGGGGAAGGGTCTTTGCAGATGCAATTAAGGATCTTGAGAGGAAATCATCCCAGAGTAGCTAGGTGGGCCCTAACTCCAATGTCAAGTATCCTTTTGAGAGACAGAAGAGGAGAAGACAAATGGGGAAGAGGAGAAGGCCATGTGAAGACAAACTCGGAGGGTGTAATGAGGCAGCTGCAAGCCAAAGAATGCTGGAACTACTCGGAGCTGGAGGAGGCAGGGAAAGACTCCCCACTGGAGACTTCAGAAAGAACGTGGTCTGGCAGACAACTTGATTTCGGACTGCTAGCTTTGAGATCTGTGAGAGAATAAGTTCCTGTTCATGGTGAGCCACCCAGTTTTTGGCAACTCCTGGGGCTCCTTGTAGCCCCAGGAGGTCCACATAACCTCCTTGGACCCTTGTTTACCCAAGCTGCTTTCCAGATGCCTCTGGCTGGGTTGCACATCACTGAGCGCTGGCAGGAGATGGGATGGTGGGAGAGAAGAAAGAGGTGGAAATATATTTTCCCACTACCCACCGCAGCCACGCCCTCGCCCCTACACACATGCTGTCCTCAACGCATCTGTGGTGCTGGTTCTGTTGCTACCACTCGTGATCCCTCCTCTAAGGCTTAGTTTTCCCTCTGCTGTAGCTACTCTCTTTCCCCTCCTTTCCCCTTTAGTCCTCAGGGTAGTACTGTCTTCCATTCTTTTTGTATCCCCGGTTTTACCTCTTTAAGTATTTTTTTTTTTCATTAAAGCCTCTTCATTTGAACTCTTCACTTGAATCCTGGGTGAATTTTCTTTCCTCTCAGAACCTTGACTGCTTCAAAGTTCATGTTCAGTGCTAGACCGCTGAGACGCCCACTTTGTACATAGTCTGAAAACCTTTAATGACTGGTTTTCTTAGGAAGCAGATACGGATTCATTCTATTTTCATGAAGAAACTAAGATGGGGATTCACTAAAGAAATCTTCTTAAGTGCCCCAAATGAATACTAGAAACACTCCCTGTGACCCTAACAGCCACGGCTGGCAGAGCATGCTACCTGACCCTAATATCCAGTGTATTTCTCCGGAGAAGACAAAGAAGGGGCTGCAGTGGGGGAGGGGTAGTTATGTTTCTTGACTACACGTCCCAGGGGGTGAAAAGATGAGACTCAAAGCTCCTGTAAGGCCCCAAACAAACTCACCGTCATCATTTCTGAATTCACTTGGGTTGGAACCGTTGAGAGCAAATCAAGGATGTTAATGATGGCTCCCAGGCTCCCAGGAAATGAGCTGACTTCGTGTTTCACCTTGCCTGTGCTAACAGAAAGATCCTTTAGGTACGTCGGGAGTTTCGCATCCTGATAGGGGCTCTTGATCAAAGCCTAGTAAAACAAAAGCCAACACAGACAAAGGGAAAACTTGCCGGTTGGTCTGGTCATCAAATCCTGCTGATCTATCATCCATGATGAAAATCTCTTACATCCGTGGTTTCCTTTTCTCCATTCCTAGAAGTACATCTTATAAGGTAATTTACTTATCTCTTAATTTAATCTGTGTGCCATTCAGACTAGAATATTACGTAAAGTCCTCACACATAGAAAGGGAACAGTAAAGCACATGTTAACCTGATGACTAGTTTTTTTTTTTTTTTTTTAAAGGAGAGTAGATGTGATTGCTAGACAACTAGATTAAAATTGAGTAAATCGTCACTTGGTGGTCTGTATGGAAGCCACGTTGCCACTCTGCTTTTTCTCATCGCTTACCTTGCTGGCCATTGGAGGGGTGACTGTCCATCCCAATTTTCCTGGGACAGTTCTGTTTTATATCTGCTGTCCCGGTGTAATGATTACTAGTGCCCTCTTTTGTTTTCAAAATGCATCCTGGTTTGGATGATAAATTATATGGTCACCCTATCTATAATGATCACACTTCTGTTTTCTAATTAGCTAACTACCTATATTATAATGACACAATTAACTAAACTACTTATAATTAAAGATTTCAAATTCTACCTCCTCCATAAAGAACTTTGATGAGTATTCCAACGTAAGGGAGTTTCTTCCTCTGAATGCATAAGTGTTTGTTATTTTACATACTTCACATTTGTGACATTTCTGTTTGTGACAATGTCATCTTGTGTTTTAATTTCAATATCTCTCCAAGTAAATTATAAGCTCCTTAATATTATGAAATGTGTTATATTCCTTCTGATATCCTATAATGCCTCACATAGCATAAGCCATATAGGTTGGCGCATAGTAGGTATTCCATAAATATATATGGAATGGGTAAATCAAATAAAGCATGATAGACCAACATGCCCCTTTTCCACTGAAAATGTATCTAGGTATCTAGAATTGGGACCAGGGCCCAACAGGGAGTTCAAGTTATAATATTTCTATCTTTCTTGATTAGGAAAATTTATATCACTGATGTATCCTTCATCGAGGCCCAAATCAGATGCCAAGTTTTTCAAGCAGACCTTTCCCGATTATCCTAAGCAAAATTAGTGTGCATATAACTACTCAACTGGATTATGTTCTCTAGAAAATCAGAGACCAAGTTCTGATTTGGTCTCTCTACCCTGATAGCACCTACAATAATGCTTTGCACCTAGTAGGTATTTTAATGAATTTAGTGTCAGACAAGAAAAGAGACAGAAGATGATCAGAGGAGACACAAATCAATATTCCCCCTTTTCCTTAATTCGTCTTCCAATAGTGAGAGCATTTGGAACCACTTGGTTAATGATATCATTAATTATAACCACTAAGTATAACTCTACTAGTTGCCTCATCAATGTTGACTTATTGTAATTCATTAGGATTTGCATTTTAGGAGTCTCTACTCTAAGCAACTTCAGTATGAGGTCACATTTATTTTGATGAAAAGAAATTTTTCCCTACCATATGGCAGTAACCTCTCTTCTAGTTAAGAGAGGCAGGCTAGTTACGTCTCCCATTACTATAGGGTTACCTCTAAGATTGAGGAAATCTCAGACCTGTAAAAACATAATGCCCAAGTATATATATTTTTTGCACCAATGAACCTTATTTTTTAAGTTTCTCCTTTTTCTGAAAAGATTAGAGCTACTTGCTTGATATCAAGATTATTCAAAGGGGATCGATAAGAGAGGATAATTCTACCTGCACCTTCAAGGTAATAGAAACAAGGCACTGAGAAGTCAAGGTAAAAAGGTATACAGCTGGTCCTAGGGCAGGATGCATATTTTGTTGTCTCCATATTTGTATGTAAGAAAAATGTAAAGCATTTCTAGGTTTGCATCTTCTTTGGAAATAAACAAGTAAAAGTCGCTTTGGGAGCAACACAAACCAGCCCAAGGCCCATTTGCTGAGAAATGAGATAAGCTAGAAATATCTCCCCAACAAGAGCTCGGAGTCAAATATTTAAGGATCACCTTGGCCAGCTGGAGAAGACTATTTATTGGGGCAGAGATGCAGTCATTCTTCTTCACCTTCCACTGGGAGCCTACACATTTGTACGTTATGATCCCACCAGTGGGACTTCCAGGGCTGCTGGGAACACTTGAGAACTGGCACAGTTTCTGGATGACTTTCCCAGGCTCCCCAACACCTATTATGGGATCTTGGCACATGATGTTCTCTCCTGCATTAGGAACATGGAAATAAAAGGGACTGTTTGAAAAGGAGGAGAAAAGGTGGTCGAAATAGGGTCAGGCCTGGGTGGAATATTGATGTTTGAATTCATTTTTCTCTTTGCTTTCAATGACCTTTTCAGAGTTACCCACTTTTTGTATTTTGCACCCGACTTTTCAAAACCCCTCTTTGGGCTTTCGACACAAATCCGACTTTAATCTGCGCTTACTTTTCCTAACAGAACTAATTTCCTCTATGCCTCATCACCATCTCCAGTCCGCAGGAATCTTCTCTCCGCTGCCTGTAAAATCTAAAGCATGGAAAAATGAGAGCTTAATGTGTGCTCATCTAGATAAGAGACAATCAGGTTACTAGGAATCTTCAGGAACATAATGCCTAATCCAAGGGATTCTCAACTTTGGCATATTAGAATCACCTGGGGATCTTGGAAAATACCAATGTCCAGTCTCACTCCTGCTCAAATATAGGAAACTCTTGGGCTGGGATTTAGACATTGGCAGTTTTTTAACTTTCCCCAGTGATTCCGGTGTGCAGTCAAGGTTGAGAGGCACTGCCTTCATTCAAATATGTAATTAATGGTCAGAATTCCAGGCACCCATGACCTGAATATTCTAAGCAATATTTGTAAACATTTGTTCCTTCTGGCTTCCCTTAGTGGCGACTCCATTTCACGTCTACTCAAGACCAGACTTGCATGGGAAAATGACATTTGTTGAAGAACCTCTAATCTCCAGGGGACCTTGATTCTCTGATGAGCAGATCCCTTTCTCACGAACTTACAAATTTAGCATTAAGTTCTCAGTCATTGTATAAAGTCTTGAAATACTAAGTAGTTTCTACTAGGAAAAGGAAGTGGAATCACACCTGGGATGAGGAAAGAGGAGAAGAACAAGGATAAGTCAATAAAACATGTCAATGCCTGGGTGAAGATGCGGCATGGGGGACAGTGAAGAAGTGGCCTTGGTTACCCCCCCAAGAAGAGGTGTGCTTAGTAGGGTCAGGGGACAGTGACACAGAGAGATGGGGAATTCTAAATTCCTACTTTGATGTCCAGGGCTCAGTCACCAATACACGTGAAAATGACCACAAATCACTAAGTAAACCCAAACATGATTCGTGATAGGGCTATGAATCCCTTGGATATCAGAGGTGCTATTACAGAGAAGGGTTCGGGGGGAGGGGATTGCTTCTTGCAGAAGCCCAGGACCATCCTTTATTCACTTGCCTCTCTGCTGCTCCTGAGGAGAGCTCTTGGTCATGGGCCATTACAGAAATGGCCACAAACCATGACCTTCAACCTTGAAAATATGTGGGGTGATATTGGCCCAGTGATGACAAAGGATGACAAAGATAGTTGCCTATTTTTTAGATTGATTCTTTTCATGTAGCCCTGTCTAGTAGGGACACTTTTCCTTTGCTGAAAGTTCAAAGATACTGTGCACTTCCCAGTACAGTGCTTAGCCTCCCAGACTCCACTGAAATAGGGCTTCGTCCACAAGGTTTTCTTGATTGTTTGCTCCCTACCATCACTAGGAGAGTTAAACCTGGAAGCCTCTTTGGGCTGCCCACAGGATCTCGAGTTCAGCCCTTACTGCATTAGATGTAATAACATTTGTTATCACATCCATCTTTTCCCTATGCCTGAGGCCAGTCAACATGGCTTAGTTCTTTTCAAATCCCCCACCCTTAGCCCAAGGCCTGCCCTATGAAGGTGCTTAATGCATATTTATTGAATGGATGAACAAAGGAATGGATGACTAAATGAATACTTTGCTCATGACTATAATATTTTAAAATAATTTAAAATGCTCTTACCAGGAACCAGGTTAAGCTTCATAGAGGGGCTCTGGACCGAATTATTAGCAGCATTGGTAAAGTGACAAAATATGTTGAGCTTTTTTGGACACCAGGAAACTGAGCTTGCCATGAAATTATATTTGTAGCACACTTGCTTTCCATTAACTTCTTTTTCTGAGATAGAATTATAGAAAGAATTAAGTCACAAGATGAGTCTCCAAAGCACACATTTTTTTTTCAGATAATCCAATATGGATATGTGTGTCTAGATTTTCCAAGGAATGTGCCACATTCATTTTTTGATATGGGTTTAAAAATGGCCCTAGCGTAGAAGTAAGTCAGCCCACATTTACACTGTGCTCACCTCACCTTTACCTCTACCATTCATGACTCCAAATCTGTGCCCGTACAGTTTGGACAATCAAAATGCCTTTCAGCTTCTCTCTCCTCCTTCTGCCTGTCCAAATCCCAGCATGTCCTGTGCATTTATTCTGTCTTGCCTTCACCACATTGGTTTAGAGTCACCTCTTTATGGACCTGTCTCCTCCATTAGACCATAAAGTCTTGGAGAGAAGGTATCTGGTCTTACTTATCATTGCATCTCCCAATGCCTAGCTGAGTATTTGGCACACAGAGAGCCTTGAATGCACGCACGTTAAACATAGAATGTTGAAATGTTTAAATACTTCAGTATCCAGATTGATTCTAGACCCTCCTACCATACAACCTTCTCTAAATTCTCATCTTAATTGGGTTCTGCTTTTCTGAACTTCCAGTGTTCTTTTGATCTGAGTTGGTCATTTTAGAAATGTATTGCTATACCCATTGTCTTTTTTGACATGAACACTTTCAGCTAGATATTAATATATGTGCCCCACCTTCTTTTGTCTTCTTTTAATTGACTACTATAGTGTTTTGCATTGGGCATGTCTCTATGAATAGTTGTTTAACGAATGAATGAATGAGCTTGTAAATTCTTCAAGAAGGTGTCTGTGTTTTGAGATTTGGGGTTGTGAGCTCATATTTGGTTGACCTTAATCTGTAGGAATCCTGAGGTCCATGGATTGAGGGTACATCCTACCTTAGAGGATTTGAATTTTTTTGGCAGGTACCATTGGGTGCTACCAGTAGGCCACTTTAGATTAGTCACTCTTCAGTGTGGAGTTCCTGGACCCCATAGGTAGTATAAATTCAAACCCCAAACCTGAGTGGGGGCAAGACAGTTATAATTCTTAGGGGAAATTTTTGCCTACCCAGAAATGAGGCTAAGCTCTTAACTCTGGCAGACAAATTTTGTTTTTCTGCTTATCCTCTTACTGAGTGAGCATCTCACCCTTTGAGGGTTCTGACTTTGTGCTGGTGATGTGGGGTGCCTTAAGTTACTGCCTAGAGAGTAAGGCCTTTTCCGGAATGTCCTTCAGAGCCTTAAAACCCAAGGTGCTGTGTTTCTGACACTGGCAGATGCCTTCAGAGAAGGCCCAGCAGTACTAAAATATTTCTATTTTTTTTTTTTCTTTATGCTCTTGGCCTCTTACTTTCTTGAATGCTCAACTGTGCATAGTTAAAAGGATTTTTGAGGTACTTTTGAAGCATGCTGATTCATAGCGTGGAGGGAGGGACTACCAGAATTTCTAGTCTGATGTACTGAGGAAGTAGAAGGCCTGTGAAAGTATTCTAGCACTGTCCTCGACAGCTCCCAGTAAAACCAATGGGCTTCCTTCACCCTCACAGACCCTCAAGATTTTGCCACAAACCAACAAGCCCTGGGTCACACAGCAAAACAGAAGGTATTAAAGTTTCGTGGGGTTCTCTCTGTTACGTTCTGTCTCTGATGCAGTCTTCATATCTCTTTACCTCTCTTTTTTTTTTTTTTTTTTCAACGTTTTTTATTTATTTTTGGGACAGAGAGAGACAGAGCATGAACGGGGGAGGGGCAGAGAAAGAGGGAGACACAGAATCGGAAACAGGCTCCAGGCTCCGAGCCATCAGCCCAGAGCCTGACGCCGGGCTCGAACTCACGGACCGCGAGATGGTGACCTGGCTGAAGTCGGACGCTTAACCGACTGCGCCACCCAGGCGCCCCTCTTTACCTCTCTTTTAAGATGAGATGTTTAGACTCCACATGAAGGAGGTGTGCCTCACAATGCAGCAATTACTGTCTTACCTGCAAGAAAGGATAGGGAGTCCATTTGGAAAGTGACTTTGTAGTCTTCATTCTCCTCAATGCAACACTTGAAGTGATGGGAACCTTTACACGGAATTGTAGCTTCCAAGGGATCAACCATGATGTTTGGCTCCAGAGGCAGCGGGTAAACAGTCACATCTTTTGTAGCGACACTGTATGAATTCTTATATCTAAATATGCAATGATAGGTTCCTGAGTAGAAGGAAACAAAAATGAGATGGAGTGCAGTCACTGCTCCAAAATAGCGTTTGCTGGGAAGGTTAAGAAGAGGATTAAATTTCCCTGTCAAGCACGGGCAAGGGCACATCATACCTTCCTCTGGACATTGGACAAGGGAATGTTTGATCACCTCTCCTCCTGGGTTCTCTATGTATTTGAAGGACCAACCAATAGCCTACATAAAACTCCAAATAAAATTAAGTGGCTTATCCAAAGTTATACAGCCTGTTGGCTGTGGAATTGCATTTGAAGCCAGGTTCTTTCCCAATACCTACTCCCAAAGTTCTTTTATTAACCCAGGGGGAAAGATGGGAGTTTTGGTGTGTGCTGAGATGGGGTGTTCTTTGAGGGGAGTTGTCAGCCAGATGGAGCACTGAGGTGTTGTGATGTCTCCTCTCCCCATCTCTGAGTGAGTGATTTCCTCAGGTTCCAGGGCACCATGATGCCACTAAAGAGTGTGGAAGGGGCAGGGGTAGGCTAAAATTCTTGAGAGAGCTTCATCTGTGGGCTCTGGAGTTAGATGTATGATGCCTGACTCCTATCTAGAAAAGTCTAACGATGAGAGGCTGGCTGGCTTTGCCAGAGTACAGAAGGAAGGCTACAGCGGGAGTAGCCTGTGACCCTGTGCTTGGTGAGGCAGAATAGATCGTGCACAGTACTTGGGTTGAGCTTCTGGAGAGGATCTTTTCCCAGTGGACTTCATGGCAGAGTCCATCAGAGGATGAACCACCGCCTGAACAGGTGCCATGAAGACAGTGCAGGAAGATTATAACAGTACCTATAGCTCAGCGAGACCCTTTGATTTTCTTTACATTCCCTCTCTTTGCCCCGACTCTGGGGTGGCCAGAGCAGCAACTAGCCAGAGGAAAAACAGCTAGAGCAAAGACCGAGAACAAAGCCCTTTCAATTTCCGTTGGGAGGAAGGGAAGCTTAAACTCAACATAAAATAAAAGTGTAGTCAGTTCAGACGACAATAGATTTTTTTTTTTTTTAGTACCTGAGTATAGGACTGCTAAATAGTTTAGGTGACTGGAAAAGCTATAGCTTCTTCTCAGTTACGGCTTCTCAGTAGGAATGAGCAGTTGGACAGAGTAGATATAAGTCCAGCGTGAGAGAAAAATACTCCCATTTCCTGACTGTATTCTACCAAGGCCAGCCAAACAATGACTAGCTCTTTCTACGATGTTGCCCAGGCCTTCTATGGACAAATAGAGATGACCTGGGACTTGGAGGACCTGGACTGATGAACTTCATGGTTAAGGAAAGGCTTCAGAGTAGAGCGGTCAATCAAGAGTTGGCCACTGGAGCCAGTCAGTCTCAGTTTCACCCTGGATCTGCCATTTATCAGAGGTATAACCTTGGGTATTTTACTTATACTCACTGGGCCTCAGTTCCTTCATTTTTAAAGTGGGGACACTAATACCACTATCCTCTAGGTTTGTTGTTTTAATTGAACTAACCCACTTAAATACTTAGCACTGTGCCTATCACATACTAAGGACTCATTAAATGTCAGCTATTATTACAACCATTCTATCAAATTCTCTTTTTTCCCCTCCAAATATTTGCATTTCTTTACAACATGAATAATGTGTAGCGATAAATAGGAAATAAAAACGCTCCCTTCTTTGGAACCAGGCATATAAATCCTTTACCTAGATTTTTTTTTTTTTTTACATCACGATTGGGTGAAAAACTCTAAAAGTCTGGTGAAACTACTTTTAAAAGCAGTCCTCTTAACTTCATGGCAAGAGCACAGGCTCTTGAATTGGAGACGAGTTCCAATCCTGTCTCTGCAACTTAAGATGTAGAAGCCTAGGTGTATTTGTTAATCTCTCTGAGCCTCAGTTTCCACATCTGTAAAATGGAGATAGTGACATCTTCCCCTAAAGGGCTCTTGCATGAAATGTGATGACATAGGCCCTCCAGGGGCCTCTCATAGGGTGTTTCCGGGGGTCCCGGCAGCAGAGTGGGGTCCGGGGTCTTTCACTCACCATTCCACTCCCGGGTCACGGTGTTCACTGTGAGTACTGACTCTGCTCCATCAGCATACCTCTTCGTGGTATAAAACTTTGGGTATATTTTAATTCCAGCAGAAGTGTTCCAGTATACCTCATCATAGTTACTCACATCGCTGATGCACTTTATGGAAAAGTTTTGCCCCTCAGAAACAGAAATTGGGTCCCGGGTTATTGTTAGGTTGGCTGAAAGAATGCAAACAAAACAGACAAAAGAAAAACCAACAACAGGCACAATGTTTAGTCTTGCTGGTGACATTGACACGCGAGTGAAATTTCAGACAGAGACAGAAAGTGTGGGCCGTCCTCACTCTACTTGTGTCAATGCGGGACTGGTACCTTGCCGTTCCTGGGCTTTACTGGTTTCTAGGCTGTTCCCGGTGGTGCTCTGAACTGTACTCATTTCCATCACATGCCTTAGGAGCTCGTGCACTTTCCCATTGTGGCTGGAATTATTTCCTGATGATCAGCAGGGCAAAAGGTTGCAAACTTAGGGGTGTTGACTTAACCCATGTGTTCATGAGGAATTCTTCAACAAAAACGTTAACCGGACCCTTAACAAATGTAAGAGCTTACATGAACATTCCACTGTGTTTGCCCCTGCTTCTCTCTTTCCATTCCTCTTTGAGCGTGTCATTGACATTTCAAAATGCCATTCACTTTGATCTTCTATAAGCGAACAGTTTCATGCCTTGAGCCCACTGATGCCAGCTTGCTTTTTCAATCAGTGTAAAATCTTACTCTTGGTCAAAATCAAAAGAAACCAGGATTCCCCATTGTGCCCTTTAGAAGCTGGGATCCCAACGTTCAGATAGAGTCCCTCAGTTCCATAAGCATGGATTGCTGTGTCCCTCCCCCTGCCCTGATTGGCTGTAGGGATCTCGGGTAGAGATGCCTTTCTACAGTTTGGCGGTTTCTGAGAATGGAAAGGTAGGAACCATGGATCCACGGAACCATGAATCTGTTCCTCTTGATTCTCAGGTGAGCTCCAAACTACCGGACCAGTGGTTTTCCGTGAAGTCTAAATACGTTTCTAAGACAGCCTGAACCGCACATAATCAATACAACTCAGAGTCAGAACTGGAAGTGTATAACTGCTCCCACTATAGACAATTGCAAATCATTGCTCAAAAGACCCCCGAACTCATCCATGGCAGTAATGTTTTCAGATAAACATAGTCTTGATCTTTGTAAAAATGCTAAGTCATAAGAGCAGAAAATGTGAATGAGACTAATAAGTATTGTTCATATGAACCTTTCTCCAAATTGTTCAAAGGGGTCTGATGATTGACCTAAGTAGTTTTTCGGGGTTTTTTTGTGTGTGTTTTTTTTTT